CATTGTGGGCTGAGGGCTCCATATTCTGGGGGTCTCCCTTTCCCCCACAACCCATTGAAGGCTTAGTGGGACCCTGCCCTGCCCACAGGGAGGAATCCTTGGTGGCCTCCTAGAGGTGGCTCCCCTCTCGGCTCACGGCACACAGTGGGGCGCCCCAGTATGGGCAGGCTCAGGGCTGGGTCATGATGTGGGGAGGCCCCATCTGCCCACGGTGCCGTGGAGGTGGGGGACCCTAGAGTGAGTGCAGCTGGGCCTCCAGGCTCTCCTGGTTGTGCAGAAGTGTGTAATGGTGGTGACCTGGGACCTGGACCTGGACCCGAAAGGAGTCTGGAGCCCAGGACAGCAGAGAAAAAAGTCAGTTATGAAAACAGCCCGTGCAAAGGCCCAGAAGCAGGAAGGAAAGCGGGGTTCTGGGAACGGTGAGTCTTGGGAACTGGCTGGGAAGAGTGGAAGACACAGGGGCCATGAGCTGGGCAGAAGGGGAGAGCCCAGCATGTGTGTGTGTGTGTGTGTGTGTGTGTGTGTCACTAGGGAGTTTAGAGGTGTGTGTGGAGGGACCAGCAAGAACAGATGAGTGTTTTTAGAAGAAGGTTTTCACAGCAGGATGAAGAAGAGGCCGGCAGGAGAAGCAGGCAAGATTAGTTCAGAATCTTGAGATAACACAGGCCCTAGGGGAGGGGGCTAGTGTGGGGCTGTGGCCAAGGTCAGCCTCTGTTTCCGGGGAGGGGACTCCTGAGGAGGGTCAGGGGCTGCAGGAAACTTTGAGTAACTGCCTCATGGTGGGCCAGACAGCCTGAAAATCCTGTTAGAAATGCTGGATTGGGGCCGGCGCTGTGGCACAGCGTGTTAAGCTGCTGCCTGCAACACCGGCATCCCAGATGGACACAGGTTCGAGTCTTGGCTGCTCAGCTTCCCATCAGCTTCCTGCTAATGTACCTGGGAGAGCAGCAGAAGATGGCCCAAGTTCCTGGGCCCCTGCCACCCACATGGGAGACCCGGATAGCGTTCCAGGCTCCCAGCTTCGGTCTCTGGCTCAACCTCGGTCATTTGGGGAGCAGACCAGCCAATGGGAGATCTCTCTCTGTGTCTCCTCTGTCTCCCCCTTCTTCTCTGCCTTTCAAATACATAAAATAAATCTTAAAAAAGAAAAGAGGAAGAAATGCTGGATTAACAGAACCCGTACTCTTAGATGCTTGGGCCTGCTCTTCAGATGGGGAGAGAAATGCCCGCCTCACCTCTGCCTGCTCCTCCAGCAGTTCCAGGCCCCTCCCAAGCACCCTTCTTGCCTTTGAGGACTCAAACTGAGGCGAATTCTTCCATCAAGGATACTGAGGCAGCTGGTTGTGCATAGAGGAAAATCACGTACAAGTAGTATATTGCTTTTTTTTTTTTATTTTTGACAAGCAGAGTTAGACAGTGAGAGAGACAGAGAGAAAGGTCTTCCTTCCATTGGTTCACCCCCCAAATGGCCGCTACGGCTGGTGCTGTGCCAATCCGAAGCCAGGAGCTAGGTGCTTCTCCTGGTCTCCCATGTGGGTGCAGGGGCCCAAGGACTTAGGCCATCCTCCACTGCTCTCCCAGGCCACAGCAGAGAGCTGGCCTGGAAGAGGGGCAACCGGGACAGAACCAGCACCCCAACCAGGACTAGAGCCCGGTGTGCCGGCGCCACAGGCGGAAGATGAGCCTAGTGAGCTGCGGTGCCAGCCAATAAACATTTTCTTAAAAGATATTTCTTTGGTGCAAAAACCCTTGAAGTCTATGCATAGCTGTTTAAAAAATCTGTACTTTTCTCAAACTTTGGAAGACCTCCCTCACACTAAGAACAGCCCCACTCTGAGAAGGAACTGGGTAATCCAGGTGTTTCCTGGGAGAGCAGTGGCGAATGGCTGACCACCATAGGAAGTGCCACTTCACGCCCATTAAACTGGCAGCCGTGTAAGAGCCGAAATGCCACTTCACACCCATCAAACTGGCAAACATCTAAGAGCCCGACAGAACAAATGCTGACGAGTAGATGGAGCCGCTGGGCTCATGTTTCCTGGTCAGGGTCATCACTAGGCAGACGGATATAGTATGTACGTCCTGGAGTCCCCACCGATTCACGTGTGCACAAGTTCAGGTCAACAGGAGCCTCCACCGAAGCACCGGACATCCGTTTTTAAGTTAGGAAAAGTTGAAGACCACCCAAGGGTCCATCTCAAGGAGACTGGCCAAATAAACTGGCCCAGGGGGATGCTCATGGGTGGTGTAGGTCCGGCCAACGTGGATAGCCCTGAAACATTGTGCACCTTGGGAGTTGAACTGCTGCTAGAGTTAAAGGAGCAAGCAGCAGAAATGAAGCTAGGATTTATATGGAGTGTGGAAACAGCACTGCTTGTTGTTTTGGATGCACACGTCTGAGTAAATGTTACAAACACCTGCAGGTTCCTGGCTACATTTGGGGAGGAGGGAACAGGACAGAGTTGGGGAGGGGAGGTGGTGGCGGGGGGCTTGACTCTGGCTCATGTCACAGGTTTGTCAACGTGTGACATTGTGCTGGCCGTGAGGAGCCCGCTTGTGTCACTGCATTTTTGTTGATGTTTATGACTGAAATGAAAGGAGGAGACAATGAAGAGACAGAGGTGGGAGTCACTAGGAGCCGTGATGGTGGGGATGAGGATCTGGGAAGTGGCCAGGCAGGCAGGTGCCTGGGGAGCACCCACTAAGGGGTCAGGGACCTGGGACTCGGGGTTTGGAAGAGAAGAGCTTCAGGGAGCCTCAGCCTGGCAGAAGCCCCTTGGCCTTGACGGTGAGTTGTGGCACCCAGCAAGCAGCTTGGCTGGGCAGAGAGGGCAGCGGGTTTGGAGCAGATGAGTCTGGAAGCTTCTTGGAGCCATCTCGTTCCCAGGTAGGAAAGAAGAGCAGCAGCCTCCAGGGGCAGGGCACGGAGAGCCTGGGACTGGCAAATCCAGGAGTGCAGATGCAAAAGCTCAGACCCGACCAGCTCAGGCCCCTGCCTTGCAAGCTCAGTTCAGAGCCCCCATTTCTGTGCATCTCCAGTCCCTATCCCAGAGAGACCTGACTCAAAGGAACTGGGCACGTGTAGCTATTCTGGGGTGTCCACATTTAGTTGGGCCCACGAGGCTGGAGGACCAGCCCTGTTAGGTAGGCATGTCCCATAATGGGAAGCCAGCTTTGAGCATGAGCTGGCTGCAGGCAGGGGGCGGCCTGAGAACCTGTAACCCCTGGGCTTCCATCTGCGGCTTGGACCTGCGCTCCTCCAACAGTGACTTTCTCCAAAGCCCTCGCTGCTCCATCTGAGCAGCATTGCAGCAGGTGGCTTTGAGACCCACTGTGAATCACTTAGCCTTCGTGCCTCAGTTTCCTCCAGTGGAATGTGGGGAGTCTCTCAGCCAGGCTGTGATGAGAGCTGAACAGTGGCAGCGGTTGGTGACAGATACAGCGTGTGTCCTGGCGCTCCCCGCCACAAATGCCTTCTCCACATCTAACCAACAGCCCCCGAGCTGGTTGGCCGCATCCCTAACCCTGACCTATAGGTGAGGAATCAAATTCAAAGAACTAAGTAGTGCAAGTTCATGGAGCTGGCTGGCTGCAGAGCTAGGACCAGCACTGCACCACCTCCCTTATGGGAAAAGTGTGTCTGACCGTGTTCCTTTAAACTGTCAGGTGCTGTGTGCGTCTTCACGTACTTCCGATTCCTCCTCAGTGAGCTTCGGAGAACTGAACAGACCCTTTAGCAAACGGGAGCAGGTGTGGCTTGCTCCACAGTGCCGGGCGGCAAGGATGGGGCTGGGTGGGAGGTTTGCAGGTACCCATGACCTCCTGACCCCCAGAGGCCCCCAGCCTCAAAGGCCCCTCCCCTCGTGTCAGGGAAGTAGAACCCCGAGTGGTCTCATTCCAGCTGCTTTTCCTCCTGCCCTCTAGCATCCCTAAGATGCACACACACAACACACACGCGAGCACACGCATGTGAGTGAGCACATGCACACCCTGCTGTCCTGTGGTCTCTCCCATGAGCCCCAGGGAGAGAGTTTGCCTCCTGGCATGCACCCCTCCTGCAGCGTGGACTGCTCAGAGCAGTCCCTGTCCAGGAACCCACAGGATGGCCTCGGCCTCTTGGGGTCCAAAAGGACCGGCCAATCTCATTTGGCTTAACAGCCCCGGTGGATGCGTGTTGGGTCCTCTCTCATGCCCCAGCCAGCACCACGTAGGCCCTTCCGAAATCTTAAGTGAAGGGAGAGTATTCCTGATGTTGCCTACAGCCTCGCTCCCAAAGTCCTTGAACAGAACGCTGCCTCCCACCACCCCACAGGACCACGCCCTTGCCCAGACAGCACAGTGGCCTCAAAATCCCTCGGGGAGAGCAGGCTGGGCACACACCAGCAGGGAGCCGGCCGGCCATGCCCAGAATCACGTGCTCCTGTCTCAGAGCTATGTAGCAGTGGTGTTCTGGAGCGTGTCTCTCTGTGTGTGTCTATATGTTTATCAATGCCTCCTTAAGCATTCCAGGGTCAAAGGCCTGTTTATATACATCCAAACCTCTTGTCTCCTGGACGTAGGACTATTCGTTCCCTCTGACTTGCAGTTTGCTTTGTTTTAATGTCTATAAAAATGAAGGTGTTGGCTCAGCTAAACAGCTTTCAGACCTTGTAAATTTATTCACCTATTAGGTATGTATCAACCTGCTTCCATAAGCAGGCACCATGCCAACCCTGGGAAGATGAGGGGTGGCCTGGACAGGACCAGGTGTCACCCTCACATGTTTGTGGGCGGGCAGGTGTTCAGCATGTGATGAGGCGCTGTGTGGCCACAAGGAGGAACAGGTGTTGAGGGGTGGATGTGGGAGAGCCACCTGGGTTATGGATGGCAAGGAGGGAGGTTTCAGCTGCAGTCGGGAGGAGAAGAGAAATTAGCTGGATGAAGAGGTTGAGAGGAACACCCTAGGGCAGGGTAGGGAATGTCATATAAGGCCCTGCCAAGCCAACCACAGGTGGGACTCAAAATATAATAAATCTATAGCAGGGGAGCCTGCGGAAGGCGGCGCCGGCGGTGGCACCTGCGAGCGGAGGCTGGGGCAGGGCATGGTGGCTCCCAGTGCACTGTGAGAGCTGAGCGGCCGCGGGGTCCGCCATGCGCCGGCGGCCCTGACATGGGCGCCACCGGCTCCAAAGCTCGGGGGCTGTGGCCCTTCGCCTCGGCGGCGGGGGGCGGCGGCCCGGAGGTGGCAGCGGCGGGTGCAGAGCAAGCTTTGGTGCGGCCTCGAGGCCGAACCGTGCCGCCCTTCGTATTCACGCGCCGCGGCTCCATGTTCTACGATGAGGATGGGGACCTGGCTCACGAGTTCTATGAGGAGACAATCGTCACCAAGAATGGACAGAAGCGGGCCAAGCTGAGGCGGGTACATAAGAATCTGATTCCTCAGGGCCTCGTGAAGCTGGACCCCCCTCGCATCCACGTGGACTTCCCCGTGATCCTCTATGAGGTGTGAGCCTGGGGAGTAGCAGACGCAAGTACCCCTGCCCCAGCAAGACACCCCAGGCTCAAGGTGCAGCTTCCAGTGAGGAGCCCAGGTGGGGCCACAGCCCTGAATAAACTGTTGGCCCAGCACCTTCAGCTGTGAGCAGGGCTGTGCAGTGTTGACTGGGAAATCGGGTTGTATGTGGAGCAGGTGGGTGGTGGCTGGCAAAGGCTACTTGTGGAGTTAGCAGCCCACCCTCCCCAGCCACTCCTGCAGGAAGCATGGCAGGGCGTCCACTGATCAGGAAAGCCTGGTGCCTGGTTCCTTGCCTGGCCTGCTTTCTTCCAAGCTTGCCCAGGGCCCAGCCCTGTTAGAAGCTACAGCACTTTATAAGCAAGATCTGCCTTCCTCCAGCCCCCGGGCTGTGGGGGCTACACAAGTGGGAGCTTCCTTCCCCGCACTTCCCTTCCCTCTAGTCGGAGCATTTCAGCCGTTTGCTACCTCGATTCCTCCTGTGTTGGACAGAGACTGGGGGCAGCACCAGCCCGATTCTTCCTGCCTACCTGCCACTTGTTCCCACCCTCGATGAACGGAGAGTTTGCAGGCTGTTGATAGGAATGGAGACTGATCCCCCCGCCCCCAGCTGAGAGCGCACAGGCCAGGGTGAGGAGGGGCTGCACCTGTGCCTGTGGGGAGTTGCCCAACCCACCTATTCTCATCCCCTCTGCCTTTGCAGCAGCCCCCCGACCCCCAAGTGGGAGGGGCTGTTTACTACTCTGTGGTAAGGGACAAATCCCTAGGGCTGATCCCTGGTACAAGAGCTGTGAGTAACCCACCACCCCCTCGAAGCCCTGGACCACTTCACGATCAGCAAGACAAAGTACTGGATAGAAAGGAGGGGAAACGCGCAAAGAAATACTTAAAATGTGAAGGTTTGTAAATAGTCTAGTCCAGAACGATGTTGGGGCAGAGTCTGGTTTCTCTAGAAAGATGACTTTTTTTTTTTAATTCCTTACTGTGTGAGCTCTGTGCTTCCAGAGTGTGGGAAATGACTTGGGGAGGGTGGCGCCCAGCATTGGAAGACTGTTGTGTTATTTGTTCAAGTTCAATAAAGTTATTTGTAGATCCTGCAAAAAAATAAAAATAAAAATAAAAATAAATCTATAGCAGGCTATTTTTTTTAAAGGTATCATTATTTATTTGAAAGGCAAAGTTACAGAGAGAGCGCGAGCTTCCATTGGCTGGCTCACTCCCCAAAGCACTGCAATGACCAGGACTGGCTGGGCTGGGCTGAAGCCGGTAGCCAGGAGCTTCTTCCTGGTCTCCCATGTGGGTGCAGGGCTCCAAGGACCTGGACCACATCCTCCACTGCTTTCCCAGACACATTAGTAGGTAGCTGGATCATAAGTGGAACAGCCGGAACTTGAACCAGCACCCATATGGGATGCTGGGACTCGCAGGCCATGGCTTAACCTATTGCACTACAGCACCAGCCGCTAACAGTCTAATTTGTAAGTTGGTAACTGCACGTCCCACGAGAATGGTGTTACAAATATCCAAATGGCCCTTGGCAGAACAAAGTTCTCCACCCCTGTTCTTGGGAGAGGGCCCAGCATACTCCAAGACCAGGAAGTGGGGAAGATGCTTCCCATGGCAGGAGTGGTGTTAGGTGGAGGATGGGGGACCAAGGGGCTGAGGGGGGCATAGGGGCAGAAGTGTTGGGCCTTGAGCCCCTGGCGAGAATGTTGCTTTTTATCCCAAGGGCACTGGAGAAGCTTCCAAGGATCTGAAGCAGAGCGACATCAGGGTCCTGTTTATTCAGGGTCCCTCTGGCACATGGGAGCAGCCCCAGAGATACTGGAATGAGGTACTAGGACAGATGGCAGGGGACTTTGGTGTGAAGGAATGATAGGATGGTGGCCGCAGAGGTGGGCAGGCTGTTGGAGACACTTAAAGAATGGACATGTGAGGCCTTGGCCCTCGATGAGATGGGGGCCAGGGAACAGTCAAGGAGTACATGCCGGGTTCTGGCTTTACCCACAGCCAGAGGCACATTGGTGTCGCCAGATTTGCAGGCCCAGCCAGGGGTGGGCTTGGGACGTCTTAGGTCTGGGGTCACTGCGAGGCTTTGCCAAGCGAGCCTGGAGGTCAGAGGTGGGCACTAACGGCGGGAGTTGGGGGCATGGATTGGAGCTGGCCTAGCAGATCCGTGTCTGCCCTGAGGAGTTCAGCCTTCAGCACACACACCCCAGGGCTGTGTGAGTGCTGGTTTGAGCCCCGGCTGCTCCGCTTCTGATGTGGCTCCCTGCTGACGTGCCCAGGAAAGCAGCACAAGGTGCTTGGGCCCCTGCCACCCTCCTGGGAGAACCGGACAGAGCTCCAGGTCCCTGGCCTTGATTGCAGCCATTTGGGGAGTGAACCAGCAGATGGACAATCTCTCTGTCTCTCTGTCTCTTTCTGTATAATTTTGATAGATCTTTAATTAAAAAAAAAAAAAAAAGATTGGGACAGAGGGGTGTGCCAGGCTAAATCTGAGAAGCAGAGTCACTTGGGAATATTTGTCCTAAGGTTCTGTTATACAGACTTGACCTTGGGCCTTGGGGAGCTGGTTGCCTTATCCATGTGAGGTACCTGTTTCTGTGCCTGGTGCTGGACCTTAAAGTCCTCGGGGAGTCAGGAAGGAAAGAATGAGAGGGCGATGAAATAAAACTGGAGTCCTGGAGTCGAGACGGGACGGGAATGTGAATTGACCTCTCACTGGCTGCGTGTCTCCAGTTTGGATGCCGCAGGTGTCACAGGGGGTGCTGGTACCTGTGGTCACATCCACACATCGTCTGGCCTAGGAGTCAGAGAAGCTGGGGCTGGAGGAGCCGCAGGCCTGGCTGCTGCTCTGTTGTAACCAGATGGCCCAATAGACACGTGGCAGAGGGCATGGGCTGCAGCCACGCCGGGTTTCCCACACGGACTTCACCACACAGGAGTATGACTGCTCCGTCACGGCCGCCTTCCACGTCTTGGGCGAAGTATCTTCTGGCTAATTCAGAGCAGTACGGGGAAGGAAAGTCTAGGGAGAAAAAGAGGGGTGAGGCTGGGAGCTGGGTGGCGGGGAAGTAAGGTGGAGAGGCTGGCTGATGAGGACCTGTTTGCTCAGCAAACCACGAGGAAGTGCTGGAACCAGTCACACAGAGCCCCGGGCACAGCGTCTCACAGGGAGGAGGCACCACGCAAGGGCTTGAGGCCGAAGCTGTAAGAAGGCCAGAGTGGCTGGAGCAGAGGGAGGAAGGCAGAGAGGGGTCCTGGAGGAGGTTGGTGAGGTGGGCGTGCAGCCACGTCAGCAGAACAGCCGTTCCTGGACCTGTGTAGTGATCCCCTTGAAGGCACCCACCCAAAAGGCTTGTCATCCAGAGGAAAGATATTCTAGTATGCTAAACAGACGTTTGGAGGAAGGTTAGTAGCATAACTACGTTAGCCATTGCTGTAATCACCTTCAGACAAATAATAAAACCTTACCCCAAGTTTCCCGGTGCTGAGGCCTCTCCCCAGTGACTTGTTGAATATTCTAACATCAGAGCTGCCTGAGGTTATGGAAAGCAGTTGGGGCAAACAGTAGACTAACATGAAACTTGGAAGGCTGAGGAACGAGATACCTGGTGAGGGAAGGAGGGGTTAAATGCCCTGACATAGTCCTGGGATCCGGAACACCATGTTGATGCATTGGCTGTGTGTGTGTGTGTGTGTGCGCGTGCGTGCGCTCAGGACGGACTTGACAAGGCAATAATCTCTCACCTCCAGATGACCTTGAGACTGCACACTGTTGAATGTTGAAGGTGTGCTCCAGCGTGCATGCTGTGCCCCTCAGCAGAGTGGGAGAGCCATCACTTCCAGGAAGGCGCTCTTTGTCTAATCATTAGCTGGTCACTGGATTAACGGTGCAAAGAGTTCAGGGGCCACACGTGACACAGAATACACACTTTGCATAATTATCAGGAAAGTCACCGAGCAGAATAACATCATCTACAACAAACAGCAACAGCAGCCCCCACGGGATGGGCGGAATCTGATTTCCACACTTCTATTATTTGGCATGTCCAGTTTTCAACAAATATTACAAAGCATGCAAAGAAACAAAAATACATGCATATGTGGGATAAAAACCAATCAATAGAAAAGGAAACCCAGCAGTTGGATCTCTTAGATAAATACTTTAAGTCAGCTGTTTAAATATGTACAAAGAACTAAAGGGAACCATATGTAAAGAATGAATGGAAAGTATGAAGAGAGAGCTTTGGATACAGAAGATCCGTAAAGAGAGGTCTGGGCCAGGACAAAGCCAGGAGCCAGGAACTCCATCCCCATCTCCCATGTGGGTACCAGGGGCCCAAGGACGTGGGCCACCCTTGCTGCCTTCCCAGCTCATTAGCAGGGAGCTGGATTGGAAGCAGAGCAGCCGGGACTCCACCTGGCACTCCAATATGGGATGCCAGCTTTACAAGGAGCAGCTTAACCCACTGCACCATAGTGCTGGCCCCATGGAGTTTAATTTGCAAACTGGGTGCTGTAAAAGAGCAAACAACAGTAACTAATAATGAAATAGACCAATTCTAACAATATACTTTAGCAAAAGTTACCTGAAAACATGAATTGTGCAAATATGGAATTTTCCACTTAATATTTTCAGCCTGCAGCTAATCATTCATAACTGAGAGTGTAGAGGGGGAAACAGCGGGTAAGGGGGGGAACCACTGCATTGTCACCTCTGGTGACAGTAAATTTAGTAGTGGCGGAATTTTCCCTTGGGGAAATTTTGCCTCGGGGCCCTCACTTGAAGTCTGGAAGAAGCACTTGACCTGGCTGGTCCCCCAGGCTTCTGCCCCCAAAAGGGTCAGCCAGCCCCACTAATCCCTCCAGAGCTAGCTGTGTGCTCGGTGCACGGGGCGGGGGAGGCTCATGAGGCCTGGGCACACTGCAAAAGAAGCCGTAGTGTGCGTCTCTGCTAGGGAGAGAGGAGCAGAGACAGGGACACAAAGGCTGCCAAGGCCCTGGGCTGAAGCCTGGGCCACGAGGGCAGGAGGGGCTGGGGCCAAGGCTGGAGGGCGGCAGCCGGAGGGAGGAAGACCCCAGGTTTCCCCCTTGAAAGTCCCAGGTGGGGAGCTCT